GGGCCGCGGCTGTTGGGGCGCCGGCAGCACGGCCTGCTGCGCGTCGTTGCCCTGGGAGGCGGCGGCTCGAGCGGCCTCTACAGGTCCAGTTCGCGTGGCGGCTGCGGCTGCCCTGAGGTCGCGCCTTCGTGCTCCTCCCCCGGGGACGGGGGAGCTCCCTGGGCTCGACCCTCGGCGACCTCTGCGTCGGGGAACCGAGGGACAGTGGCGGCAGGCAGACCAAGTCCTACTTTGCTAACGCGTACCCTAACGCTGCGGTCCGAGACTGAGGTGCTAGGGTCGCACTTTGCGACTGTCTCGGAAATTGTCTATGCTAGCGAAGTCCTACGCCCTCCCCTGTTCAGCCACAGCCCGGTATTTCTCTGCCCATTGGCAGCTTATTTCCAACTTCCAAACTTGAGGCAAAGTAAAGTACACTTCCTGTTTTTTGAGGCCTGACAGTTTTTGCCTAGTTTATTGCCAGTTCTGAAGACACATGGGAGAAATGTTGGGAGTTGTTGCTACGTCTAAAGCGTTCTACTCTGTGTTTATAAGTAAGCTAACACTGAAGTTTGTTGAGACCAAATGAAAACACATTCTCGAATAGGCAAAGGCTAGCCGGTGCTTAAATAAGAGCAGTGGTTTTATTTTTTTCCTCGTGTTTATGCTAGAGAATTTAACTTAAAGGAGAATGGCATTGAAGACAGTGTTGCAACAGAACCACCCACACACATACACACACACACACATCTGCATTATCTAGGGTTTCCAGCCTCTCTAGGAAAGCGTTTAATACCGTCTCCAGCAACTTGTGATAGAGGACGGCTTTGCTACCAGATAACTTGACTTCTTGGCTCAGAGTCTAGTCCTGGGTTCCCCTGTCATTTGCTTTACTCAACTTGGCAGAAAAGTCAGCGGGTTTTGTTTGTTTGTTTGTTTTGTTTTCTTTCTTGTTTTTTATTAAGTGTGTTTTGATGTGACAGTTTGGTTTAGCAGAGAACAGATAGGCTTTTAACTAGACACAGCTTATTGTTTCTCATAGAGGTCCTGGTGTGGCAGTTACAGGATGTCAGGTCAGTACAATGGATGTCTTCGGCTGTTCTAGTAATCTCAAAAGTTCTTAGTATTATGCCCGTTTATTTAATTTGAGAATAGAGTTCATTTTGAGGATGATTCAGCCCTATGACATTTGCACGATTAAGTAATTCTATAGTTATAAACATGCATTTGTTTTAGGCTCTGGCAACTGCACATAACACTGGGGGTAGTCTTTAATTTGCCTTCCCTTCCCCCACAGAAGTTGTGTAAATGGAATATTTTTTTCTGTGCCCTATTTTCGCTAATTTGAAAGTAATTAATGAAGAAAGTGACAGTTTGGTATGAAAGCAGGCACTATGTGTGCTTCTGACCATAGTGCTCAGTGTCTAAATGGCTTCTAGTTACACTGATTAGCTTGTAGTTACAGGGAAACTATTTAAATAGAAAATTAAGAAAGAATACATATGTTACATAGTTTAAGAATTCCTCAAAGAGCTTTTGTTGTAATTGCCTGTACATTTGTCAGCTTCTTTAGGTTTAAAAAAAAATTATTTGTGGTCACTAGCGACAAGGTACTATTCAAATCATTCAAATTTTAGCTCATTAATTCTTTTAACAATACTACTGAGGTAGATGCTGTTATTGCTGTTTTTTTATGAATGATGAAACAGAAAAATGGTAGTTTGCTCAAGGTCACACATTTAAATTTGTGCAGTCTGGTTTTAAAGACCCCATTTTGACTGTTGTACTGTGACCCCTTTTCAGTTTTGCTTAAGGTTTGAAATAATTTTTTTGCTAATGTCCCAGAAAGATCCTTGTAGGGGGAGAAGAGAAATCAAGGATCAAACTCGACCCTTTTGCACATATTAATAAGCAAGTATTTTACCCCTGAGCCACATTCTCAGTCTGAGATTATTGAGAAGGGCCTGGTAGTAGGAGTGAACTCAGCCTCACCTATGCTAGCCTAAGTAAGCACTTTGCCACAGAGATGCACTCCACCCGCATGAAGGTTGGCTGTGTCCTTCAGACCAGCCTCCCAAGCATGCCCTGCCATTCCCAGATAAGATGTGTTTTTGATGTAAGTCATTAAAATTTAATCTCTAAAACATGATTTGGAAGCTAGATCTAAGACTAATTGGTCTTTGGGACCCATTCTAGCTGATATATACATCAATTCTGTTTTAAAAATATTTCAGTTTTTAAGAGAAAGTCGTTTAACCACTTACTTTACATTCACTCTGCTTAACATTAATATATATTTTTAAGAATTGTCTCTTTAAAAAACAATTGTCTGGCTTGCTTGTCTTTAATGGATAAGCTGAATCCTTCCAATAATAATAAGACTATCCTAGCTGGGCAGTGGTGGTGTATGCCTTTAATTTCAGCACTCAGGAGGCAAAGGCAGGATCTCTGAGTTCCAGGCCAACCAGGGTTCACAGAAACTCTGTCTTGAAAAGCCACAAATTTTTAAAAAAGAAAAAAAAAAGAATATCAATTGATAACAAGGCGTGATGTTGTAAATCTTTAATCCCAGCTCTAGAGAGGCAAGTCTCACCGAGTTCCAAGCCACCTAGGGCTATATAGTGAGACCCTGTCACAGACAGTCTGTCTTTGATCTGCTCATGATGGTACATGCTTATAATCTCAGCATGTGGGTAGCTGAGGCGGGAGGAATGGCAGTCCCAAGCCAGCCTGGTTGCATTATAATAACCCCACCTTACCCTGCCCCTGTTTTCTGGGAGAAGTCTGTGAAAAAACAAAGATAAAATAACACTAGTGCTGGGTGATTAATGACTTCATGTTATTTTGAAGTTTTTCTGTGTTTGTATTTATTGTGCCAGATCCAAGACCTAGGTTGCTTACAGGGTAAAACTTAACAAATGAACACAAACTTCAGATTCAGCTTTCTTCCTGGAAATTATGAATAAGTTAACTAGTACTTTGTAGTTGGCCATCAGTAAAAACTTGTTTGCACATTCATTTGTTACATTGTAAAACGCAGCTATAAAGAATAGATTTCCGTGTAAGGGATTTATATAGTCTCTGTTGTCCATGTAAATGATCCAAGAAATCATCACCAGCAACCTTTTACTAAGCTTTAAGAAAAAGCCATTGATAATGAACCTGTTTTTGATACCTTATTTATATACCCATTTCTTGTACTTATTTATATACCAATTTCTTTTACTTATTTATATACCAATTTTTTGTACTGGTCTAGTTCCAAGATTTGACACATGCCAGGCACTATACCACTAATGTGCCCTTGGAACCATAAACTGTGACACTTGTTTGTTTTGAAAGATCAACTGTAGAAGTTAGCAGTTTGCTGTCTAGGTGTATAGGATTATTTTAGTTAACACTGTCCCAAGGTAATGTTTGTTATCAGGAAATTATAATTGTAAAATTGTAGATTTTTTTTAAGCTAGATAAAATGTCACTATGGCTAATAGAATTTATTTCATACATAAAGTTAAAGGCTATACTTAGCATTCTATTTCCACCATTGAAAAACAAAACAAAAAACCCAGGTGTTTTAGGGGGAGGTAGATTTGAATTCAATTCAAATGGGTAGATTTGAATCACTTAGAGTATTGTATATTAAGTACCAAGGAGTAAGTACTGTGTGTGCGCATAGAAATCTTCTAGGGAGCACTCTGTGCTAAGGAAGGAAAAGCAGGACTCATGTAATTACTGTGACCACATTTTGTGTGAATTTAATCTAATTGTCCCAACAAGCCTATGATTTGTCTGTTACTGCTACCTAGATTTTATAACTGGAGAAATAGCATTAGAGGAGCACCTTTTCTGGGGTTACAACAGCTGTGTTGTGTTGGGGGTTCTTTGAGTCAGGTAGCTTGATTCTAGAATCATCCCCTTTTGATGGTATTCCTTCAGTGAATTAATAACCACCCAGTCATCTCCAGAGTATATTTGAATAGGTATATTTGTCTAATTTATGTATACAATAATATCTAGCTAGGGGGCAGTTCATGCTAAATACTGTTACAAATAAGCATTTAATATCTTTTTAGGTAGGTAGCATTGTTTTCCCCTTCTGAACTTATAGATACTTTAAATTTGCCAAACTGTAGTCCCAGCACTGGGCAGACAGAAGCAGGTGGATTGTTTGAGGCCCACCTGGTCTACTAAGCAAGTTCTAGAACAGCCAGGGCTACACAGAGAAACCCCATTTCAGGGTTGGGGTGTGGGGGTCCTTGTCAAATCCTCACTATAGTACAGTAGTGGAATCAGGTTTTCAATGCAGCAATCTAGCTTGGAGATTGCTTGCTTTCATTTTAGAGCAGTTTTATGTAGCATGATTTATAATTACTTTCATGACTAAAATTCTTTACTATGAATACTTTTATTTTATACAAATTTAAAATGTGCATTAAATTACCTTTAAAAAGATTAGTGTAATTTTTCTTGAACCTTTCCTCCTTATCAAGATTCAAGGAAAAAAATTGCGATTCAGGGAACCATCCTGTTTCTCCTGTATCATCTCATATTCTACTAGTAAGAAATGGATGCATACTAAAACCCGACTCATCATAAGACAGTGTCCTGCATATCTCTTCAGTACTTTAACAAAAATTGAAGTTGTAGATTCAGGGTTCCTTTTGTCTGATACTGTGTAATGGCTATGTGCCTTCCATGCCTTTGTTGTCGATTGGTACCTTCTCACTCAGAAATACTCTGTCTCCCTCGCCCCTACCAAGTTATTGAGAATAGAGGCCTGCCAGAGGAAGAGACTGTGTCCCCATGTCCTACTGCAGTCCCCAGAATGGTGGTTCCTTTCTAGGTAGCTCAACCATTCCATTAACCTCGCAGTTCCTGTGCCTTTGGGTTCTCAGTGGACGTTTCGTTCTGTCTCAGTCTCTTCTAGAACCGCATACACTTTGTCGCCTAGGGTCTTCCACAGAGTTGACTCATTGACCACAGGCTTCTGTGTGTGGTTTTTTCTATATGACTGCCTTGTGCTGCCAGCTTTCTCCATTCCAAGTGCTGTTTCTCCACATTCTTTCCTCACTCTCTAGAATACTGTTACTGCACCTTTAGTTTTTAGCCCAGACTCCTTCTCAGTTACCATCTTTTCTTTACTGTGCCCACTTAACAGATGGATTGGATTCTCGCCCTTCACACACACACACACACACACACACACACACACACACACACACACACCTTACCCCTGTGATCTACAAAACACCCTTTTTGTCTCTTTTTAAAAATAGGTTTAAGTAACCTTTCCATATTCAACACCCCCTTGTTTGTGTCTTTTGTTATTCGTACTTCTCTAGTGTTTTGTGTAGTGTCCTTTCCCACTGGACTGTACTTTCCTTGAGGGAGGCAAATATGTCCTTGAATATTTTTATTTTCTGGTCACCTTGCTGAAAATCTCTACAGTAGTAGTAGGTCATTTAAAAATGTTCAGGACTGACTAATAGATTTATGATTCTTCCTTTGCAAGAAACAAACAAAATCTTACCCAGAAGCATTAGGAATACATCACTGGAGGCAGACAAACTATACCTTCCTCCAAATTAGTGTGGTGGGCGGAACCCAAGACTATCCTAAATTCACCCTTGGTCCCATCTTGTAGAAAGCAGTGGTGAATTGCTTTCAAAGGGAGATGATACGTGCTTACTGGTTGTCAAAGCTGTGACCTTTGGTAGGATTGGTGCATTCAGTGTGTTATTTCATTTAGAATGTTTTGAATTTACAGTGGCTGTGTTGGGACACAACCCCATGTAAGTCAAGGAGCATCTGCAGTGTTGTCGAGGCTGTGTTTAATCTGGAATTACTGAACACTAAACCTTGATAAGTTGAGAGTCAGACTCTTTCAATAAAACGCAAGCATTTAAATAAAATGCAGAACATGCCTTAGTTCATTCTTTTGTACATCCACCTGTGAATATGAACATAATTTGGGATAACAGTTTCTATTGGAAATTCATAGAGAGTGAATAATTTGCTGAACAAATACTAGATCAAATCCTGCAAAGTTTCTGGTATTAGACTACTGTTGACCTCCAGAATGTCCTTCCTTGTGGTTGTTGTAGCTAGTCAGCTACAAGCCAGGAGTCCTCACTCCTGGCTAGTTCTCTCAACTCTTACCCTATGGGGATTTGTTTATATTGTTACTGTCATCTTGAGAAACTTCCAGTGCACACTGACTGCTTATTTGAGCTTGTCAGTAGTAGCCTTGAGATTTTTTTTTTTCTTTCAAGAGGGGATGATTTGGTGAGCTGTTCACAAGTAAACTGCTAGGCTTATTGTAGAACCAGCAAGTTTTCTGAGTGTCATGCTAAAGAGATTAGCTTCCCAGTATGTCAGTATCTATGCTTTATGAAAACAGAAAGTGGGCCTTTTGTTTAAGTTTGTGTGAGAAATGCTCATTTAAAATCAAATTACTAGAGTTTCTATGTAACTAAAATTCATGGGATTTTATTGTTGCTGGTTGGATTTTGTTTCAGTTAAATGATTTTTCTTAAAGCCATACTCCATAATACTTTTAGTTTTTTAACTCAACTATTAAAAATAAATTGTTGTATCTCCACCATCTCAGCACTTATCACACACCTCCTTTGAAAGAAAATATTTGAAACTTACAACTTTTAGTGACTAATGTGTTACATTGATCGATCATTTTATCATTACTGTTGTTATAACTGAACACTGGATAAGTATTGTGATTGTAAAATGTGTTTCATCCATTTATAGAATGGATGATGGTGATAATTCTGAAAAGAGTGTAAATGAAGAAAATGGAGAAGTATCAGAAGACCAATCTCAAAATAAACACAGTCGTCACAAAAAAAAGAAGCACAAACACAGAAGTAAACATAAGAAACATAAACATTCCTCAGAAGAAGATAGGGATAAAAAACATAAACATAAGCATAAGCATAAGAAACGCAAAAAGGGAGCTGTAGATGCCTCTGACAAAGAAGGCCTCTCCCCTGCAAAAAGAACTAAACTTGATGACTTAGCTTTGCTGGAAGACTTGGAAAAACAGAGAGCCTTGATTAAAGCTGAGCTTGACAATGAGTTAATGGAGGGAAAGGTCCAGTCTGGAATGGGACTCATTTTGCAAGGCTATGAGTCTGGCTCCGAAGAAGAAGGAGAGATTCATGAAAAGGCAAGAAATGGAAATAGGTCCAGTACCAGGTCTTCCAGTACACGGGGGAAACTTGAAATTACGGACAACAAAAATAGTGCAAAAAAACGAAGTAAAAGCAGATCCAAAGAAAGGACTAGACACAGGTCGGACAAAAGGAAAAGCAAGGGAGCTGTTGACATGGTGAGAGAGAAAGCAAATAGGAGCAAGTCCAAGGAGAGGAGAAAATCCACAAGTCCGTCCAAAAGAAGCAAATCTCAAGACCAAGCAAGAAAATCAAAGTCCCCTACCCTTAGACGGAGGTCCCAAGAAAAGATTGGGAAGGCCAGATCTCCTACTGATGAGAAGATTAAGATTGAAGATAAAGGTAAAATAAAAGATAGGAAGAAATCACCAATTGTAAATGAAAGAAGTCGAGATCGATCTAAAAAATCCAGGTCCCCAGTTGACTTAAGAGATAAATCCAAAGACAGAAGGTCAAGGTCCAAAGAGCGAAAGTCAAAACGGTCTGAAATTGACAAAGAAAAGAAGCCAATTAAATCTCCTTCAAAAGATGCCTCTTCAGGGAAGGAAAATAGGTCACCCAGTAGAAGACCTGGCCGGAGTCCCAAAAGAAGAAGTTTATCTCCAAAACAGCGAGACAAGTCAAGAAGAAGTAGGTCCCCACTTCTCAATGACAGACGGTCTAAGCAGAGTAAATCGCCTTCTCGAACTCTGTCTCCCGGTAGAAGGGCCAAGAGCCGATCCTTAGAAAGAAAGCGAAGAGAGCCAGAGAGGAGACGACTTTCTTCTCCAAGGTAACCTGCTTAGGAAACACTTCATGCTTTTTACTAGTGCTTTATATTTTAAAGGGAAAATAGAGTGTGACGGTATTTTTAAATGAGATAGTGATTAGTTTCATAACTTTAGTGTAACTTAGTACATTAGTTATAGTAACACTGAAGTGTTTTGTAGTAATTTATGTATGTTTTATGAATAGTTTGATGACCATTTCTTTCAAATTCTTGACTTAATTTAGCCTCAAATTTGTTCAGTCAACCATTTAAATCGAAACAATTTACTAAATCTGCATGGGATTATTTTAGCTCGCTGAGGGGGGTAGTCCTTCATAAACTCTCTTTTTAGGGGAGGGTGTTGAGGCATGGCCCCATGATATAGATGTGACTGGCCTCGAGCTTAGTGTTCTTACTTGAGTCTCCTAACTTCTGGATTTACAGGTGTGCCCCACTACGCTAGCCCTAAGCTAGTATATTATACTACCAAAGGAATGATTTATTAGAACCCTAGAATGAAATTTGGGGAAAATGGAAGAGGCTTTTTAGAAATTAGCTTATTGTGTATATAGGAATTGTGTATTTGAAATTATCTGATCTGCCAGGTTTTACTTAACTAAAAAGGTGTTGGGTTCTAAAGATGGAATGAATTCTTAACTATTTATTCATTGCTATTAATATGTTCCTGTAACTATGAGTTAATCTTAAAGTTAAATCATCACATTCTGAGAACTCTCAGGAGTGTTTTCAAGAAACTCATTATTCTTCACTTCTGAGTCGCCTTACATTAAACATCTCCCCTTTCCTTCAGCATTCTGCTTTGAGGCTTTACTGATCTTATCTGAAGTGTTTTAGTTGTCCCAGTTTGCTTGGAGTTCAATAGGAAATCTGAAAGTTTTATAGAAGACCAAACTTATATATTTGAAAAATCCCCCCTTTTTAATCATAAAAAAGATACAGACTAAAGAAAAGGTCAAATAATACAGAAGCCTATTAAGTCCTTTGCCTCCCCATCCCTCTAAGCCTCTCCCAATAAGTTTATACCCTGCTAGCCCGCATCATAAGCACATTATAGTTGAATATAAGTGCTTTCTTATAAATGGAGTCTGCAAATTATCTCAAAGTACAAATGGTATACTATTTTTTGAAACATGCTTTGATGACAGTATATAGGTCATTTTTTTAATATTTTATAACCACAGTAAGTTACAGTGTAGCTGTTCTGTATTTTGCTGATGAACGTTAGATGGGTTTGTTTTTCACTATTGGATACAGAGGTTCTGCTGGTTATATTTGAAGCTTCTTTGTAGAATAATCCCAAGTGAATTTGCCCAGTCTCTATATGTACAGTTGTATCTTAGAAAATTTTACTTAACTCTGAACTCTCACATGCCCCAAGGTGCGCGCACACACACCCACACATATAATAAATAAAATAGGATTTTTTGACCACAGAAATATCAATATATAGACACTTCAAAATGAAGAAGTAGAAGATTATAAGCCAGTTAGGCGAATTTCCTTTGAGCTGTATATTTGAAATTAGAGTTTCTTTTTAACATGAATACCCTTTAATTCTTACATTCTGAGGTCATGGGAAATACTTTCATTATATGCCTTCTGTAGCACCATAATGCCAGTGGGGTCATCTGACTTTAAATGGTAATTCAGAGTAAATTAATCAGAGTTACTCTCTTTTAAGTTTGTAAATCTTATGCTCTTCACATGTTGAGAGAATTCTTTTAGTTTGTTCTATGTCAAAAGAATTCTTTTAGTTTGTTCTATTTTTGTCTTAACCTCCATTTTTTTCCCTTAAGAACACGGCCTCGAGATGATATTCTCAGTAGATGTGAACGATCAAAAGATGCTAGCCCTATCAATAGGTGGTCTCCAACCCGAAGAAGAAGTAGGTCTCCCATTAGAAGGAGATCCCGGTCCCCGTTGAGACGCAGCAGGTCTCCAAGACGAAGAAGCAGGTCCCCTCGGAGAAGGTAAATAAATATAAAGGCACAAATGTTATCGTCTCGACTTGTTCACCTTTTACTCATTTTGAAATTTTAGTTAGCTGCATTGGCAGGTTTTCCCATAGACCATTTTTCTCTGAAACATTTTTGTTTGTGATCCCATAGCCACCTCCTGCCAGCATGTGATATTGCACACAGTTTTCTTTAGTGCAATTTCCTTTAAAATTCATGCAAGCCATAGGTCTTCAAGAACTCAGTTACGGGGCGAGGGAGATGGCTCAGTTGCCTTTCCAGAAGACCCAAATTTGGGTCTCATCATTCATGTCATGTGACCAAAACCACTTGTAGCTCCAGCTCCAAGGGATCCAGTGCCCACTTCTGGTTTTCTTGAACACACATGGTATTCATGAATACAGGCACACATAATAAAAGGAGTCTTTAAAATTGATAATACTTAGATAATACTCTAGATATTATCTAGAGTATCTAGATAATACTTAGATAATACTTAGATTTTTTTTAAGCTTGTAGCAAGACCTTTTTTAAAAAAGCAGGGTTGTATAAGTAACTTGATTTTTGGTTAGGATTTCTGACTAAAACATTTCAACTCATTGTTTGAAAACATTTTATATAAAGTGTATTTACAGTTTAATAAGAAAAGACTTAAAATCCGTGCATACATTAACCTGAACTTAAGCATAAATGAACATTTTTTTGTCAACCTTTAACGTCGTTTGAAAATAGTTTAGGAAGACAACACATTAAAGGTTTACATTAAAACCACCTTTTCATGTTTCTGATGATTTACTTCTTAAAACTATCTTCCTAGAAATGGGAATACATAAAAGTGCTTCTGCTCAGTGTAAGGTTTCTGCCTTTGCCAAGTTTGTGTGTACCAGTGTGTACAATTGTGATCTCCTTCCTGCACAGACTCGGCAGGTGACGTTCCTCCTGCTATCCTCTTGGCCACTCTCTTCTCAGTTGTAGATCCATTTTCTGTTCGTAGTGTCATCTTTTCGTGTGTTCAGGTGTCCAAGATGCCCAAAGGGCATTGGGTCTCTTGGAACTGGAGTTAGAGGCAATTGAGTCACAGCAAGTTGTGAGCTTCCTGATGTGGATGCTGAGAACTGGATCTAGTTCATCTTTAAGAACAGTAAGCTGGTCTAGAGAGATGGTTCAGTGCTAAAGAGTCCTGGCTACTTTTTCAGAAGGCCTGGATTTGGTTCTTAGCACCCACATGGTGAATTATAACCCTCTCCTTCTTCCCCCTCTCATAAATAAATGAATTGATTAATATTATAAAATTTAAAAAGAAAGCCTTAGGGTCACAGACTTATATGTGTTTGTCTTTACTGTACCTAGTGAGCAGTAGTGTGTCTTTAAATTGGTTTTATTAAAACATAGCTAGGCCAGTAGGGTGGGAAGAGGTGCTTGCACAAAGCTTAAGTTTAATCCTCAGATGCTACAGGGTGTCAGATGAGAAGTAGCTCTTGAGAGTTGTTTTTCACTCATGTGCCTGTTAGACATGTACACATGAAGGTGTAATTAATAGAATGTTTAAGACTTCATAAAGTAACACTCTCTGGGATGTATGAAGTTAAGAGGTTTGACAGGCACGCCTAGTCACTACAGTCAAGAGACAGAAGATTCTACCTTTTGGTTATCAGCATCTCCTTTGACTCTAGCTCCTAGCGACCATCTGTGGGTTCTGTCCTTGTAATTTCAACTTAGGTTTTATAGAAACTCTATTTTATGTTCTTTGGGAGTTTATGTAATTAGTAATACAGTTAAAATGCACAGCTGGCATAAACAGTTTAGAGAACAAACGTTGAGACCCAAAGGAAACCTTATTTTTACTATATTAATAAATGTATGGCCAGAGAGATGGCTCAGTGGACATGAACACTCTGCGAGCATGAAATCTACAGGAGAGTTCAAAGTCTCCTGTAGTGATACTTTGTGTATGTTTTAACAAATAAAGCGTGCCTGAAGATCAGAGTGCAGAGCTAAGCCACTAGAGGCCAGGCAGTGGTGGTACACATCTTTAATCCCAGCACTTGGGATCATATGCCTTTAGTTCCAGTACTAGGGAGACAGAGACAGGAGGGCAGTACAGTGTGAGGCTTGGTGGAGACAGCTGAAGTCTGAGGATTGTCCCTGCAGTCAGAGGACGAAGTCTGCAGAGACAGTCTGAGGACAGGATAGCCCCTTTGGTCTGAACATTGGTAGAGGTAAAAGGTCTCCCTAGTGCCTGCCTGCGCTGCTTCTCTGATCATCAGCATTAATCCCTATATCTGATTCTGGGTTTTTATTATTAATACCAGTTAGAATTTGTGCTGCATCCTCATAAACTCAGATAAAAAGCTGAGCATGGCTATGTAAGTGTATGACTCTGGCATTTAGGGGACAGACAGGTAAATCCTGAGTACTGGCAACTCCAGCTAAAAAGGCAAGTTTCTGAGGTCATTGTGAGACTCTGTCTCAAGAATTTAAGATGGAAGAAAATAAAGACATCCTGCTCCCTTTTCTGCATTCTTACACTCTCACCTGCATCTACATAAGATAACATGCACATATATCTGGTATGGACCAGTACTGAGTCACAACTTTGGTGCTGGCAAATATTGAGGCATTGGTAGTATAGCTCAGTGGTAGAGTACTTGACTTGCACACACACTCTCTAGAACAACCAGAGAAACAAGAAACAAATATTTGTTTCCATTGAGCTTAACTCCATATTCATGAGGGGAAAAAGAATAGGACAGGATTTATTAACTATGTTTTAGTTGTTTAAGTTTTTAAGTGAGGGGCCAGAGAGGTTTCTCTAGAGCACTTAGTGCTCTAGCAGAGGACCTGGATTTGGTTCCTAGCAGCCACATGGTGGGTCAGTGTTGTATGTAACTCAAGTTCAGGAGTTCAAATGCCCTTTTCGGGCCTCTGCAGGTATCAGTTGTACACATACATACATTTAGGCCCTCACAAACACAAATCTTTAAACCAAATTTTTAATGACTCTGGGTCAGCTATTCCTAGTCCTCAGAGCCTCCTCCTAAGTGCTGGGATATATGGTGTGCCTCCATGCCTGTATACCTTTCTTCAGTAGATTAGTTTCTGGTGATAGATGGGTTCCCAGAAAAAGAAAGTCTCCCTTTATTCTTCCCTACACATGTATACCCTTCGCTTCCCTTAATTGATACTTTAACAAACACTTATTTGTCCCTTTTTTTTCCTTCAAATAGAGATAGGGGTCGGAGGAGCAGGTCTCGCTTGAGAAGAAGATCTCGGTCACGTGGTGGTCATAGGAGAAGGAGCAGAAGCAAAGTAAAGGAAGATAAATTTAAAGGAAGTCTTTCTGAAGGAATGAAAGTTGAGCAAGAATCTTCATCTGATGATAAGTAAGACTGGAACTACACCCATTTCATATGTATAGGAAATGTACTAGATGATGTAGATGTACAAGAGATCTTTAATTTCTACGTAAGTGACATAAGTGAATCCCTAATTTCATGTGGTCATTTGGTAGGCTCGTGGCATAGATAACACTCTGATTTTAGGGGTTCTGTTTTGTCTAGATTGAGTTGAATGTTGGGCCATCATTTTAATGAGTCTTTTGTTTAGAACAGACAAGTTTAGGGGAAGACTTCTACAAAGTTCAGACTTTTCGATTTGTCAGATGTTATGTGGTTTTCAGTTGGACTAGTTGTTAGTATGTCTGTTAGAATGAGATAAACACTTCAGTGGTGTTTCTCAAGTGTTAGAAATGTTTTCAAGTTTCTATAAGCACTATCTCCAAATCAAAGCTAATTTAGTTGGGTATTTCTCACTAGCACTTCTTGCCCCCTTGGAGACATTTTGTTGGTGTCTGAAGACGTTTGATTGTTATCTTGTATTAGAAGACCAGGAATACTAGATCTTGCAATACACAGGCAATTTTCACCTCACAAAACAACCCATCCCCCTAAATCAGTAGTGCTTGGGTTAAGAAGCCCCAACTGGTTCTGAGGAAGATGGGAAAGAGAAGAATTCTGCCTAGAGCCTGACACAGTCACAGTGCACTTCTTAGTGTCATGAACTACTCAGCAGACACTAAGCATTCAAAGGACAGCTACGCTTAGAAGGTCCTAAAGTTTGGGGGTACCATTGAAGAACATATGGGTGAACATTCAGAACACGGACATTTGGAATAGTGTGTTGGACATTGAACTTTATTGCCCTTCTGAAAAGAGTCAAGTGTTTGCATGAATACTTTTTTTTTTTTTTTTGTGGTTTTTTGAGACAGGATTTCTTTTTGTGGCCCTGGCTATCCTGGATCTCATTTTGTAGACCAGGATGGCCTTGAACTCAGAGATTTGTCTGCCTCTTCTGGGATTAAAGGTGTGTACCACCACCACTATCCAGAAGACCATGAGCTTTCTGTGATCTAGAAAAAAATAACAGCTTACTTGTTCCAACTTTTCTTTAGAGGTGAGAAAACACAGATCAAAGCAGGAAAAGAACTCTTTTCTATGTTTATGTAGAGATCCTTCTTGTTTTCTACTTTTGGTGCCATGAACAAGGTGAGGATAAAGTTTGCTAGGCTTCCATCAGGCAGCTGAGAGTTGGACCAGCAGTGATGACTCAGACTGTGGCTCTATTTTTAATTTTTAAATGTTTGAGTGAACAGTTTGGGAATCTGCAAAAGTGTATGAAAACATTTTTTTTTTAAGCCTTGAAGATTTTGATGTAGAGGAAGAAGATGAAGAGGCTCTAATAGAACAGAGGAGGATACAGAGGCAGGCGATTGTACAGGTATGTGATGTGTAAATGAATGTTTTCTGTTCTAGGAGTCACTTCCTGGTTACTGCATAGAGGCTTATATTAATTGTAAATGCTCAGCCAGTAGCTCAGGCTTGTTACTAGCTTACTTTTACACTTAAATTAACCCATAATTCTTACCTATGTTTAGCCATGTGGCATGGTAACTTTTCTCAGTATGGCACTCTCATTTTGCTTCTCTGCATTTGCTGGTGACTCCTGACTCCATCCTTCATCTTCCCAGAATTCTCCTAGTCTGGTTCTGGTGCTCAATCTTTTCCGGCCCAGCTATTGGCCAGTCTGCTTTTTATTAGCAAATGAGAGTAATACATATTCACGATGTAGGAAAAGACTGTTCCACAGCAGTGGTGTTCCTTCTAGTGCCTGGTACTCAGAGGAAAAAAGATTTCTAGGTTGAGCATAGAAGGGGAGTAGTGACAGTAACCAAATCACTAGAAGAGCGTCCACATTTGTGACACTTGGATTTCTTTAGTTACTAGTGCTGACTGTTTGGTTTTACGTAGAATTGTAATATATGTAAAACATGAGAATTTGAAGTATTCTTTTTTCTTTTTAACAAGCATGAAAATTCTTATGGATAAATTGTAAATTTATTTAGCAAAATCAATGATCTGTTACTATACAGAAAGCACTTTAGTATCTAAAAAGATAATGGCAAGGTTTATAATTGAAAAATTTATATTTTTGCACTTACGTGTGTGTACTTGTATACGCATCATGGCATGAGTATGGTGTATGGTGGTGCTGTGGATAATTTGGAAAGACTTGGATCTGTGTGTGTGTGTGTGCGTGCGCGTGCGTTCTGGATTGAACTTCAGTTGCTAGGCTTGGTGGCAATTAACTTTTACCCATTGTGCCTTAGTTGCCAGCCCATAATTGGGCTTTATATGAAAGTTGAATATGAAAGGCATTCTATTCAGGTCTTAGCAGTCACAAAGTAATAAAATTTGCTGCTTTGAAAGGCAAACCACATGTCTTTTGTGGTCCTGAGACAAAATCCTGGTACAACTTTTGGGGCCGTTGAGGACAACAATCCTCATAAAATGTCTCAGAGGACAAAGACAAGAGCAGCCGTGGCAGCTTACCTGCTCACATGTAGCAAACAGTAAGTCAGGAAGCCAAGAAAAGAATCAATTGCAGAGGAAGCAAGATAGACCTGGAAAGTTTTTAATGGCATTCTGGTAAAGTCTTTATTAAGCCGATACCCCTGAAAACTTGTTTGAGCCTGTTTTGCTCCTGGTCAGATTCAAGATCCCTTATCTGCAACCCTTGCTGGATGAGATTCAAAACTTAGACATTTTTGAATGTTAAACAGTATTATGGGGCGTATCTGTGTACATCACTTAGAGCCATCTGAGGAATCTAAAATAGATCCTGTGATCAGCACATTAATATTTCTAAAATGGGGCACATGAATAGTCAAACCAGTGGGTAAAGGGCAATGAAAAAATAGAAATTCATATAGTCAGGTCAGGTTTACCACCTGGTGAATGTACTCCAAACACAAATACTTTTCAGACTTGGTGAAATTTGGAATTTTGAAGGATTGTGCACCTGATGCAAGCCAGGTCTGGATGCCTTTGTTGTTTTAGCATTTGCATAACTCCCAGTGTCTTAATGCAGCAACTTTTGAAAGTCATATATTTAGATAATTTGTTTTATGAAGCTCATGTATTTATTGTTATTACAGAAATATAAATATCTTGCTGAAGATAGCAATATATCTGTGCCATCCGAGCCGAGCAGCCCCCAGAGCAGCACGCGGTCACGATCTCCTTCTCCAGATGACATCTTGGAGCGGGTAGCTGCTGATGTAAAAGAATATGAGCGAGAGAACGTCGACACCTTTGAGGCCTCAGTAAAAGCCAAGCATAACCTAATGACGGTTGAACAAAATAATGGTGAGTTAGAGTGTCTTAATGATGCTTTTCTCTGGTTTTAGCTGTGTAACCTTATGGTTAGATTTGAGGGATATTAAAAGGGAGTAGGAATACTGTGCTTACATGCTTTTTAGCTTATTTTGTGTATATGTGTGTCTGTATGGTAGGGGTTTCATGTGCAGGCCAGGGGACAACACCAGGTTTTATTTCTCCGGCCTCATTCATCTTTTCTTGAGACAGATCCCCTACTGTCTTGGAGCTTGCTGAGTAGGCCAGGCTGGCTCACCAGGGCATCCACCTGTGTTTGTCTTCCTAGTGTTGGGATCACAAGTGCAGCTATGATGCCCTGCTTTTTTATACAGGCTCTGGCAAAACAAGGACTCCATTGATTCTCATTTCTTGTTAAGGGTGTCTGTGTTTTATTCAGTCATCTCACAGATGTGTGTGGATTATGTCCAGTTGTGACTACCCATTGGATACTAATTTAGTAACGTTGTATATCAGGTTGCTTTCAGTACTAATCCACAGAGTTTTGGAATAGTTTCCTAGAAAGCCAATGTGTAAGAAGTAAAAAAGTTTGATTAATACTACTGATTTTTCTGCTGACTTAGGTTTTAGTTTCTATTTTCATTTCTCAAGTATTAATGTGGTTCGTGGATCAGGAGTGGATTCTTTGTGTGTACTTTTGCTGTATATTGTCAGATTCTCTTCTTTCAAGTTATGTCATCTTGCTATTCCATAAACAACACCTAGGTACTTACTTAGCCAAAGTCTTACTAATATAGTATTGTCTTCTTTTAGCCACTGTCTTTTATAAGCATTTGTACTTAATGGTAATTTTAATTTGTGTTTCCCTTACTGTGAGTTGGGTGTGTGTTCACTTGTTGAAAACCGTTGTATTTCTTATTGCTTGTGTAGTTTTCTAAATGGGTAGTAGATATTTTAGGAGCAAATTATAAACAGGTGGATACTGATCTATTTCTGTCCAAAGGAGGAGATTAACCCTTTGATGTATTTAAATAAGATTTTAAGGGTAACTACATTTTAATCCAAGATTATTGTGTAGTAGCTGTTACCTTATTTATTTAAACTGACAGTGGCTAAAGTTGATGTTTGATGGGCGTGGTCGATCAGTAGTTAAAAATTAACCAGACTAACTTAATATAAAAGATTTAGCTTTAATAAACAGAAGAAAGGGAACTTACAAAACCTGGGTTCCAGCGATCCAGAAGCGCAGGTTACAAAAAAGGGCAGAGCCAAGCACACCTGGACTTTTATTTGTTTTGTGTGGCCCCAGGGGGGACACACCCTAAGCAGAATGTGATTGGCTGAAGTTCCCCATCAGATGTTAGTCTTTCTGACGTGTACTTGTCGATTTTTATATCAAGTATTATGAGATGCTTTTCATTTACTGGTTAAAAGTCAGTGTGAAAAAGGAAAAGATTTGATTAATACTACTGATTTTTCTGTTGACTTAGATTTTAATTTGTTTTTATTTCTCAAGTATTAATGTATGTTTCATTTAAGGTTCATCTCAGAAGAAGCTTTTGGCACCTGATATGTTTACAGAATCTGATGATATGTTTGCTGCTTATTTTGATGTGAGTAATTTTAAGTCAGTACTTAGGAATAATTCTGTTTAACTATTGCATATGAGCAGTTACAGAGAGAAATGAGGTTCTCATTGACAAAGTAAGAAAACATCTGAACAGGCTATGTGAATAGCATTTCAAAACCAAAGTGTACTAATTTTGTACCTCCCCCAGGCCTAAACTATTAGAGTTGTTAAAAGGTGTACAAGAGAAAAATTAGAGAACTTTACCAGAGTTCGCTATCCAGAAGTACTTGTCTGCATGTATGTACATACCCCACCTCAACACATGAACAGGAATATATGCATGTGTTAGATACCATGGGGAGTTAGTTAACTGACCTTAGTCACTAGTTGGTTGTGTGTGTGAGTTTGTTTTTGTTTTGCTGTAATGTTTAACAGAGCCATTTTATTGAAAGTCTTGACTACAAATACAGCTGAAGGACTGGGGCCAATTTCAGTTTATATTTAAAGGATCATAAGAAATTCAAGGCCTTAGTGAGAAGAAATAGGGAGGATATAACAGGATATAAAAAATTAGGTAGAATAAACATTATATGAGACCCTGAAGACATGATTGGAGTAAGTAATTTGCAGTGTATCACATGAACCTCAATGGGCACACTGGAAGAACATGAGATGAATATTGTCCTCATTGAACTATCAGCACCGATCATTTGCCTAGATGATACTTTGTGTTCCCATTCTATTACTATAATGAAATACCTGGACAATTAATCGTGAAGAGAAAAGATTTATTTGGCTTCCGATCTGTAATCAGCTGGCAGCACGTTATGGCAGAAGTAGATGGCAATAAAACTGCTCATGGTCAAGAAGGGGAAGAATACGAGAAGGATTTTGTGTCTCAAAATCTTTGAACTTCTTCTAGGTGATGGCTCTTTAAAAGATTCCACTGCCTTCTGGTAGTGCCACTTGGGAAACCAAAGCCTTTTTCACAAAGACTTGGGAGTGTGGATTGGGGTGTCTAATAACCAAACTATGACATCATTGCAGGACCTTCTGGGTACCATGGAGAATAATATGGAAGAGGGTTCTTCACAAATACTAGATAGATGTTATTATTTTTAATTTTCCACACAGACTCAACCTAGAGCAGCCATTGAATGCTATTTCATGCCCGTGTGGTAAGGGTACAAATGTCTCTGGACAAGGAGGCAGAGAAAGAAATGATGGGGGTCAGTAGGCAATGTTGGACACTGTGATAGTTGATAAGTTATGTAGGGCTTACTCCAGTCTGTCTCACCAGCTAAAGGAAACCAGATCTGATTTTTAATTTTTGTTGTCATTTTTAGTGCAATAATCATACAAGGAAACTTTTGGAAATCTTGAATGTTTTTCCTGTTATTAAGATATAAGACATTTGGTAATTATATTCTAGCTACCTAATGAAATGTTAGTTTTGCCATTTTTTGTTACTAAGGTTTGCAGTCACTCAGCAAGCACTCATGTTGCCTCCCTCATTTCAGAGTGCTCGTCTCCGTGCTGCTGGCATCGGGAAAGATTTCAAAGAGAATCCTAACCTTAGAGATAATTGGACAGATGCAGAAGGCTATTATCGTAAGTTTGCATTTCTCATCAGCTTTGAAATTCATTGTGCAGTTCCATAAAAGCACACTGTTTAGTGTAATCACACATTGTTCAGGTCTCAGTAGAAAAGTGTGGCACAACTAGTCGTGGCTTAATGAAGTTTTGTTATATTCCAGTCAGCAGCCCAGAAGAAGCATTACATGTTAATTAAAGCAAAGCTAAGTTTGTGTGTAGATAATTTCAGCCGTGAGTGAATCCTTTAGAGGAGAGGTCTATCACGTGATCATCTTTACATTGTAAGTCAAGAGAGCAGCATGCAGAGGAACTCAGTTGCCAGTCACGGTGTTTGTCATGCAGTGTTACAGCTGAAGACACTTCAGTGAGCATGTTTATAAAGTTGCCAGCATTTGATGGGAACTCTTAGAATTGTCTGAAATAGGCATGCAACTTCTTTCACATTTTGAAAAGATGACCAACCAACAGAGACCGTGACTGATTTTCCATTGTGTATTGGAAGCAGTGGAGATTTGATCCAATTTTTAAATAACTTCAATGTGTTAATAACTTTCTGATTTTGTTTTTATAATCAAACTTTTAAATTTGGTTTTAGGTGTGAACATTGGGGAAGTCCTAGATAAGCGTTATAATGTGTATGGCTACACTGGGCAGGGTGTGTTTAGCAATGTTGTACGTGCCAGGGATAATGCAAGAGCCAATCAGGAAGTGGCTGTAAAGATCATCAGAAACAATGAACTCATGTAAGTAACTGAACCTAAAACAACAGCAAAACACCCAAACATTAATCTTTGGGGGGGAAAATGAAATTTATGTCCTGGCAATGTGGAAGGGATGCATGGGCAACCCATATATGGCGGTTCTGTTTAACTTGTCAATCAATATTGGGTTTCATGGTCTAAGTTGATGAGGATGACTAACCAGGCAGGTCTCTTGCTCAAGAGGGCATTAGATGAAGCCACCATGTCATTGCTAAGAATTGAACTCAGGACCTTTGGAAGAGCAGACAGTGCTCTTAACTGCTGAGCTGTCTCTCCAGCCCATGAATCTTAGTTAAATAAAATTTTTAGAAGAGATTTTTTTTTTTACTGTAGATTTTAATTTACAGGCATATCTTACATGTGACGGTCTAGAACCATAGATTATGTTGAACTCATTTCAGTACCTCCTCTGTACCAATATGTCCTTAGTTCTCCTGCCTTACCTAATGCCATGTTCTATTGTGACAACCTTAATCTAGAAGGAAGATATCAAAAGAATATTTATTGCTTCTGACAGGAATTGTCTTTGATCTTTTGACTTTTTTCTTTCATGAGCATAAGTAATTGCTGTACCCATATATTTAATTTGTACCACACACTGAACTGATAATAGAACCAGATTTTCACTGGCTTTTAAATGTTAGAAGTCTTAGAGATTTTTATTCAAGTCTTTGATTAAGCTTAGAAAGATGTGTTTGGTTTGGAGGGTCTGACCTGTACTATAGACACTTAAGATGTACCTTATGACAGTTTATCGTCAGATTTTCATTAGCAAAGTTATATTTAGGAAGACATGCCCAGTAGTTTTAGGAAGACATGGCCAATAGTTATATTCTTAGAAGAACCAAAATAATTATATCAAGGTATTTTGAGATTTTTTTTTTAAGTTTTTATCTTATGTGCACTGGTGTTTTGCCTGCATTTTTGTCTGTATGAGGTGCCAGATCCCTTGGAGCTGGATCACAGACAGTAAGTTGCCATGTGGCTGTGAACCTGGTCCCCTGTAAGAACAGCCAGAGCTCTTAACCACTGACCCATTTCTCCAGCCCCAAGATTTAAAAAAAAATTACTAAGTTAAATGTAACACTTAGTGTTACGTGTGTTACAAATGGCATATCAGGCTGTATCTAAAAGATGTTACTCCTAAGTTCTTGTATCCTAATTTTCTTTTTCATTGCAGGCAAAAGACTGGTTTAAAAGAACTAGAATTCTTGAAAAAACTTAATGATGCCGATCCTGATGACAAATTTCATTGCCTGCGCCTCTTCAGACACTTTTACCATAAGCAGCATCTCTGTCTTGTATTCGAGCCTCTCAGGTAAAGTGTCAAACTGAGCAGTCAAGTGCACATGTAGTTATCTGCCTACCAGCCTCACTCATCCTGGGTAAATGCAGGGGAGATTTCGGGACTGCTTAGGGTTTTCCTGCTGGCTCTTTTCGTTAACCATATTTTCCTGAAAATCATCAGTGTGTAAAACATGAACTTATTGCTGTATCGTGTAGCAGACACTAAGTAACTTCAGGTACCCTGCAGGTCAGCAGTAATGTGGCTTCCAAGTTGTGTTTTCAAGGGGGCCTTTCTTGAGTAAAGGAGGAATTACTATGTAGTATCTCTTCCATTATTTGGAAAATCGAACTCAGCTGGGAAGCTGTACTATGGATATATTGTTATTCTCTCAAATAATTTAGCAAACATTGTTGATAAACTTTCTTAAACAATTACATAAATTGTATTTTGCACTTCATTCTTTTTATTTTTTTTAAATAAAACAAAAACAAATTCTTTTTCATTTTACATACCAATTCCAGTTCCCACTCCCTCATTTCCCCCCATTTCCTTTACCTTTCCCCCATCCCATTCAATTCTTTTTTTTTTTATGCTTGAGAATGTTTTTGCCTTTTGTATTTGATTTTTGACCCCATATTTTTTTTTTATTTTCTCTCCTTAAAGTATGAATTTGCGAGAGGTATTGAAAAAGTACGGTAAGGATGTCGGTCTCCATATTAAAGCTGTGAGATCCTACAGTCAGCAGTTGTTCCTGGCGTTGAAACTCCTTAAAAGGTGCAACATCCTACATGCAGATATCAAGCCAGACAATATTCTGGTAAGTCAAACAGCTAGGTCAGTTTTGGTGCATGTCCACATCTCTTCCTGCTAATAACAGGACTACTGTTATGCTGCAGAATAACATTTAAACAGTATAATTCTTTGTATTAATAGCCCATTTTTACCTAATTTGCCAAAATTTATCTTTTTTGAAATTGAACCATGAATTTCATAGAAAACTCTTGAGGGAAGAGGAAATGAATCGTCCCTTTTTAAAAATTTGTTGATGGATTTATAGTGTGCAGTGGTTCTAAGAATGATGGCAGTAATTTCCTTGACTAGCTGAAGACGACTGTGCAATGTTGCTGTGTTGAAGTGTGCTCTGATCTTCTGAACACTAAAGAAATTGCTCTCTACTGAGCAGCTATTTGGAGTTCAATTTTTAAGGTGGATGTTTGGTTTTGTTTCCCCAACTTCCCAAATCTCATGCTGAGCTTACAGGCACATCCTACCACATTTGGTTCCTGTCTTTTATTTTTTTATTGCCTTTGAAGCTGACTTCTGGGAACCCAAGCAGTGAGGCTCAGCTCCAGCTAGGTGTTATTGTTGAAAGGTCTTTCTTTGAAGTCATAACATCTCATATTAATGATTTCTACTGTAGTACAATCAGATTTCACAGTGATTGTGCTGATTTTGCAATCTGGAGACAGTGTCATCATGGTGATAGCATTAATGCGCAGGCACACCCCTGCCTTTCTTCCCCTTTCTGTAGCAGTCAGAGTTTGAATCATATTTACAACTTGGTGAATTGCTTCATTATTTGCCAGTGATATGATCTATAACATGTGTTTTCTTTTGTAATTTTCCCCCTTTAATTCTTACTTTATGAATATAAGTGTTTACCTGCATGTATGTACACATATTAGGTGAGTGCAGTGCTCACAGAGGGCCGAAGAAGGTGTCGCATTCCCTAGGACTGACATAATAGACAGTTGTGGGCACCATGCATGTTCAAGGAGTCAACCTCTCTCTGGAAGTGAAAGTCAGTGCTCTGAACAGCTGGACTATCTCTCTAGCCTTAGCACCCCCAGATTTTCATTGTTTTGTATTGCATTGTTTTATTTTTGTTTGTTTTGTATTGCATTTTTTTTTTAGTTCCTTCTAGAATAATGCCATAGAGGAAAAACCATATATGTAAGGTTTTCTTTATTGAGATCATGTTCGAGCTGTGACAAACTAAATTCTTAAAGAGATTGTGATTGGGCAAGGGGCTAATGTAGCCCAGAGGTAGAGAAGAGTGCTTGCCAGCATGCCTGAGACTCTGGGTTCAATCTCCATCCAGTACCATACCCCCAAATTGTGATCTCATGAAGTTTAATGACTCCTGAGGCTCTAATTTTTAGATCAGTTATTTTGTGTGATTATATGTATGATGAATGTGTACATGTGTACTTAAGGGTGTTTGTGCCCATGTGTAAGCATGTAGAGGCCAAAAGTCAGCATAGAATGTCTTTCCTCTTATTCTCCATCTTAATTTTTCAAGGCAGAGACTCTCACTGATTCTGAAGCTTACTCATTAGCTAGGTTAGCCAGCCGGTGAGCCCCTGGCAGTGTCCTGTGTCAATACAGTTCTCCCACCACTCCCATCTTGAGTGCGTGCTTGGGACCTGAGCTCTGGTCCTCTTACTTGTAAAGCCAGCATTTTGCCCACTGAAACCACACATACCGTCTGTCTTAAAGTAATTCCTTCCAGTCTGTGGCATTAATAATCATGCACATCCTATCTTGATACTTGGTTTGTATTTATTGTATTGTACTGTGTGTCTAATATACTTAGGGGTAGGATTACTGAGAAATTAGTGAAATGGTAGGTATGCTGTAAGTGAATTAAGAAATTGAGTAGCCAAATTTATACTTATTTTTTTACTTCAGATTGGTCTTTTTAAAAATTGTGAAATACAGCATATATATCAAACACCTGCAGTTTAGAAGATACATAGCAAACACCTGTGTATTGTTATGGCACTTAGAGATGTTTGGCAGTAGCTCCTCTTTTTTCCTTTTAGTGTTAGTTTAGATTTTCACATGAATTTTGGGAACTACGGGGGGGGGCAATCCTAGAAAACACCTAGAACTGATTTCATTCATGTCAACCTAATGAATGCTTTTAGCCTAGTTTTAGCTACGGTGTGATTCATGTGCAGCGTTCCTCCTGGGGAATAAAAGTTGCATAGCAAACTAAAGAGAGGCAGTGCTGAGGGTGTGGTGCGGTGGTGTATGCTGAGCCTATGTGAGGGCCCTGCACTGTGCCCAATACCAGGTAAAACACCGTCTAAGTGAGTGTAGAGCTCTGCTAATTGAATGCATTGTATCCAGCTCACAAGTTCCCCTGGTGCGTGGTTCCATGTGTTTTCTGGGTGTTAGAACTTTTTAAGTAGCTAGATTCATTTTTTTGTTGTTGTTTTGATTGTTCACAAAAAATGTTTACCATTTTAAGATAACTTTCTGCTGGCCTCCAAAGTAAAGAAAAAAAATCAGTGTCGGTATTGTGTTATAGTTTAAAATAATTTGTGTTTGGCTGAGCTTCCTGGCTTAGGCCTTTAATCTTAGCGCTTAGAGGCAATCAGATTTTGTGAGTTCAAGACCAGCCTGGTCTACATAAATAAGTTCCAGGCCAGCCTGAGCTGCATAGAAAGGCTCTTTCTGGGACTGTAGGAAAGAAACTATTATAGCTCAATTCTGTGGGTTCCAGTAACAGTCCAGCCTGTTCCAATAGTTTCACCTTGTGGTGATAACTCCCCGCACACAGAGCGTTCTAGAGCCAGCTAAACTAAGTTGTCACGGGACTGGGATTAGTAGGCCGTGTTCAAGTCCCACCTCAGCATTTGTATGTGTCACTTTAGAAGGGGGGGGGGACTCTGGAATATGAATTAACTTCGCTTGTTAATCCTGAACATGCTTCTGATCGTGAGTGGCAGCAGTCGTGGGAGCAGCTCCAGCCTTTCTCAGCAGATGTCACTGTTACTGTATATGTGGGAGTACTTGGCAAGGAAACAAGGACAGATGGCTAATAGAGTTCATGTTTGTCAGTTCTCTCACATACATTTACATTTTTCTTGACTAATACTTTATACTGAAGGGATTTGATATTTTTCAGATTTTAAGTGATTACAGTGGACAGAAACCAGGTAACCAGATGAAGAATCATTTAGTGTTAAGTGTCATCTTTCCTTTGCCATTGTATTTTTCTGGCAACTGGTAGTTGACTTTAGTTTTTTGGTTTTTTTTTTTTGGATAAACATTCTCATGTTCTTTTTAGAGAGTAACTTGACTTTAGGCATTCAAGGAAATCTTCGAAATGTTTTGCCTTATGAAATGAGATTTTTATTTCATGACTCAAATCCATTTTAAATATCGTTAAGTAAAATTAAATAGGCCTGATGTTCCCCCATGCTGCCTTACTAGTCAAAAAACAATCTTACTAGTTGTAATATAATATTTTAAGAGCACATTTTTATAATTAGGAACTTGTATAATAGAAAAGGAATTTTTAAATGTATGATTTTTTTGTATTGAGTATAATATAAATTTTTAAAAGACAGTTTTAATTTGCCTAATTATTCCTGGCATGAATTGAATTTTCTTGAAAAATGTTTTGCAGGTCAATGAATCAAAAACAATTTTAAAGCTTTGTGATTTTGGATCGGCTTCACATGTTGCAGATAATGACATAACGCCTTATCTTGTCAGTAGATTTTATCGTGCTCCGGAGATCAGTAAGTTTCTTAGAGTGTTCTTGTACCTGGGCCATCCTCTGCGGTGGCGGCAGCGTGTGTAATGTCTAAGCACTGTTTTCCATCGCACTTCAGCAGCTGCACGAGTTCATTCATGAGGAAGGGAACCATAGCAAGTTCATCCTCCTCAGGTGGAATGAAGGTAGTTGTGGCAGGAGTCTTGATCATGTCGAGCAAGAGTAGCAAAACAGTTGTGGAAAACCCTCGACTTTAGAAGACTGCTCTTGATTGTTCAAGGTCTGATTATCACGTTTATGGATTGTGTGGGACCTTTGGTTTGCTCTTCCTCTTGCCTGGGTTGAGGTGGACTAGCACCTCCAGCAAAGGTGAATGGAGAGAGAGAAGGAAGGCAGCACCTGTGCTTGTCTCTCCAGTTCTCTCCTCCCGTTGTTAAACCTGTTGCCATTTTTTTGTTTTTTGTTTTTTCTTTCTTTCTTTCTTTTTTTTTTTTTTTAAGTATATCTCTTAAAAGTTAGTGGGAAAGAACACGAAACTAAACTGAGACATGGATGTGGCTATAGTTCAAGCTCAGGTAGTCCCCATTACTGGAAATAAAAGTTAAGGAGTTGTTCATTCTTATTCTCATGTATTAAAACCTCCATTTTGTTTTCAGTTATAGGTAAAAGCTATGACTATGGTATCGATATGTGGTCTGTAGGTTGCACCTTATATGAACTCTATACTGGAAAAATCTTATTTCCTGGCAAAACTAATAACCATATGTTGAAGCTCGCCATGGACCTCAAAGGAAAGATGCCAAATAAGGTAGGATAAATTCCTTCCGATAGACTTAAAGATTCATAACACTTTGTCATCTAGACTACTGCTTGTAAAATAAAGCTCCTAGAGGCATGGGTAGGTGGCTGTTGTGAGGCTCCTTTTTTGTTAGGGGTTCCAATTAATGATTCTAATCAGCCAAAAACTATGAAAGAGAACTCCCTTTTCAGTAGCAGAAGGAAGGGGCACTCTTGTTGATGAGAAAGAATTGCAACCATGAGACAGTAAATGAAAGACAGAATGAAGAGCAGCGGCCCATGAGTTAGTTAACATGTGAGGGAGTGCACTGGTCAGAAGAGAAGGTAGCTAAGCATGGCAGACTTACTTGATAGCACTCTTAGTTCTGCATACAAGGGCTTCTGGGCCCTAGCCAGAGAGTCCTAAATAATGTTTGCATTAATTATTGCATAGAATTGGTAGTGTGTGAGGCTGCTTTATAGTAATTTTAAAACCCTTTCTACCCTGTTTTGTAGATGATTCGGAAAGGTGTATTCAAAGACCAACATTTTGACCAAAATCTGAACTTCATGTACATAGAGGTTGATAAAGTAACAGAGAGGGTAAGTCTGACTTAAGTGTGCCACAGTGGTGGTTGCTATTTGTCTTTTCAATGTGGGGACTGAGATGGGGTTTCACATTTATTAGGTCAGTGCTCCTGCCACTGCACTAAATCCCCGATGCTGTATGCTTCATTAGCCATGAATTGAGTTCTGTGTGGCATGTGCATTTGTGATTATTTTTAAAATTACAACAAAATATGCAATTTCTTTTTGCTATTAATTCCTGAGTAAAGCACATCAGGCTATGAAAGCAGTGAAGGGAGTGAACTTGTTTCTCTATGGGACAATAGGCCCTATTTAGGTCCTTGCCACCTCACTTAGATCCCTTGATCTGACTTTCCATATGTCTTCTATATTGCTATTGGAGGATGTTTTCTATATTTTGAGGTTTGCAGAGTCACAAGCCAAGTTTTCCATAAACTCTGCCTTATTTAGCATTTTTCTCCTCGCTGCAAGGCCACTCTTGTCTAAGAAACACACTGGTTCAGGCATACTTGGGCTTGGTGCCTTTGCTCACAGACTTCCATGAGCTGAATCATATCCTGGTTACCTCCTCTCCTAAACACATTTATCCAGCATTGCTGAAATACACGTTCCGTATCAACCTTTCTAAAACCTACAGGATGAAATAATAATTTGCTAAGTTTTGGTCTGTAATATCAAACCCTTGCTTTATTAGAGCTCTGAGTAACTTGTTCTGGTCGTGGCCTGGTTCAGACTGTCTGTTGCCACTGAGGAATAAGACCAGGGAAAGCATAGTTTAGGCAGCAGATGCTCACTTTTGTTTTCATGGCTAATTGGAGGTTTTCCCATTTAAGTTCCTTGATTGTTCTTTGAAAAGCTGTGGAGGATAAAACTACATAAAAACCATGATTGGTCTTCATCAGTATTCTTGTTTATATATTAATATAGACAAACAATATTTGGTTTACATTTACATACATGTAACCTATTTAGAGCCATGCATTGTAAAAATTATTTTTAGGAGAAAGTTACTGTCATGAGCACCATTAACCCAACTAAGGACCTGTTGGCTGACTTGATTGGGTGCCAGCGACTTCCTGAAGATCAACGTAAAAAAGTACACCAGCTAAAGGACTTGTTGGACCAGATCCTAATGTTGGACCCGGCTAAGCGAATTAGCATCAACCAGGCCCTGCAGCATGCATTCATCCAGGAAAAAATTTAAACGAGATGAAGAAACTCCAAGGGTTTGAGTAATTAAATACAAAGACTGAAGAAATTTCACAGCAGTTTATTATTAATGTATATAAACTTATAAATATTTCTGCAGCAAATTTGAGGAAGCATGATATATTTGAATTAACACCAAGGGTGATATTTCTTTTAGAAATGTTAGTTAAAACTGTTTTGTGTCTTATGTGAAATTTCACTGTAGAAATGTTTTAATTGCCAAGACTGCACAAAATTAAAGTGCTAATGTATATGGTTGCAGTTCACATAAAAGACAAAAGCATCTGTTATGAGTAGCAGTGCTGGGTGGTTGATTTGTTTTTAGCAGACTTGGCTTCATTTTGGTCTTCAGATACAATGGCCAGCATAAATGCTGTTTATATTCACGTTTTCCTAGGTGTGTGTGTGCAGGCCACAGCAGCATGCCCTTGGTGTAGTCAGTGCCGAAGGGAGTCTGTTCCTTCTTGAGCCTGCCTGCAGGGATGTCTCCTCTTTTAAAGCAGGTTGTGTACAACATTCAGTACACTGAAGGTAAGCTAAACCATCAACATCACCAGTGTTTTAAGATGTTATTTTATTGGAATAATTGAAAATGAGGGATAGCTTTGTGGCAGAATTTCCTGCATGTGTGATAATTGATCTTGTTTTATTTTTCTGGCATCACGACTGTGGCATAGTTACAGTTTCTGTTCTGTTCATCACATTTAAAATTTGAAGCGTATGCGCTTGATGGATAGAGCGCCTTCAGTGTACTGTTTCTTATTAACTTTACTTTTTTTTTTAAATCAACTTGCTATAGACTTTATATACATTTTGTTAAATACAGTTCTTAGTGACATAGAAACTGCATAGTTTTCATTTACTAATTAAAATGTTGAGGCCTACTTCTGAAAGTCCTCATATTTAAAAGATAGACAGCATAATGAGATTTTTAACTATTTGTATGTCATTTTGAAAGTGTACTGCTTTATGGTAAAAGTGTTTTTTCATTTGTTCATTGTTTGCATTATTTGTGATCATGTTGTCTTTCAATACAGGCATAAACCTCCCACTCTTGAACAAAGCAGCTGCTTTTTAAAAGCGGTAATTGCTTCTTTACCTTTTATTTCTTTTGTAAATGAAGCTTTTCTTTAAAAATGTGACTTTAAAGTGTTGTCTATTGCATAAACAGTTGACACTCACTTACTGTAAAGTGAACATTGTTCTCCTGCATGGGAAGTGGACCGTGCAGAATTCTGTATGTTCTCAGTATGCATCACTAGATAATAAAGTCTTTTGTGAACAAGGCATTTGTAGCCATTTTTAAAAGATTTTTGTCTTCAGTGCTGGTAAGTCAGGTAAACTGTAAATAGTTAAAAACAGTCTTTGTTTTTCTCCTGAAAGTATTACCTGCTAAAGATATAACTCAGTCTCGCCTGAGTTTTAAATTTTTCTTAATTATTAGGGTCTTAATTATTTCACCCAGATAAAAAGTTTTATCAGCTTTCAGTGTAGTGAGGTTATTCCTGTAGGTTATGGGGTATAACTCAGGATTTAACTAATGTTTCTGCTATTTTCTCACTTTTCCTTTTGATGGTGCGGAAAGAGAAAAAGGAAAACGGGGCACAGGCCATTCGACGCCTTCTCCAAGGGGTCTGATTTGCTGAGACACCAGCTTCACCTTCTTAACAAGGTTATTTCTGACAGCATGTGTAGATAAACATTTAGCAACAATTTAAAACAAAATCATGTAAATCAGCTTGGTTTTGCAACACAAAGGAATTTGTACTTTTAATATGGTATAAGAGAATTTTCAGAATCCTGTGTAATCTTTTCTGTTTGGGAGTGGGTAAACTTATTGCTTGTCTCCCTGAGGATTATGAGAACAATAAAATTTGGGGGTTTAAATAATATTTTTACATTGTAAATGGGATTTTTTTATTCACCCAGGCACCTAATTACAACAAGCATGCACATTTTGGTGCATTCAAGAATGGAATATCAGAGTAGCAGCATTCTCCTGGTGGGTTATGCTCCATTTAAAGACATGAAATGAACTACACAGCCAGGAAGGTGATAGATGAGATAATAAACCACCTATGAACCTACACCCCGTCTCTTCATGGTTAGACTTACTAAAATAAGTACAAGGTGATTTTCATCTATGGGTAGAGTGAGGCCTTTAAACAAGGCGTCACAGGTGCAGCGTCCACCTTAATGATCTGAGTAGCGAGTTTCCCACCATGACTTACTTTATTTTGGTGCTGGTATGCTGCATAGTCAAGTCTTTTGTAGTTGTTTTCACTCAGTAGTTAATGCTTTGGCTTCTGGTGGTTTTCATGGCTTCATTTTATAGTTAATAAGCTAATTTCCACTAGAAACCATTCATCTTAGGCCTTCAAAGCTGTTGCCTACTCTTTAAAAAAACAAAAAAGCAAAAGCAAAAAAAAAAAAAACAAAGTTGCTTGTTACTTGTTCTTTGTGTTTTAGGTGCGGCTCAATGGAAGATGACGGCAGCCAGAAGACATGAGCCAAGGCTTCTGTCCCATAAAAGACCTTTTCAGTTCTCATTTTTAGTTTCAGCATTATAATTTGGGTGTCATTGCTGTGGTAGTTAGAGTAGTGGTGCTGTTGTGCTCGTCTGTAAAGTGTTTTTATCACATTTGCTGCAGCTACACCCTTCTTCTAAAGTGAGAATCAGCTTAGTCATAGAAAAAGCCCACACTCATGGTCATCAGAGTCATTGAGAAAACAATAGCTGCCAAATCAGTGTACATTTGGAAGTAATCTGCAAGTTGGGTGTATTGACCACCCCGGTCGAGTGGAGACAGTAAGAGTTTGAGATCAAGGCGTGCTTAGCCTATATGAACCCCTCCTTTTGTTTTTTTGGGTTTTTTTTTCCTTTTCTTTTTAAAATAATTCTTTAGCTTTAAGCAGGCACCTAAATTGTATGAGTAGTAAAATTTTAATAAACTGTTTGATTCTTTTAATAGCTGTTCTTTCTCTTAGTCCTTCATGACCAGCTTTTTAGTGCCAGAGACTTAAAATATGTAATAGCAGACAAGGGGGAGGTATGAACCATGGTACTGTACTATTACTTTTCCCAAAGGGACTCTGTAAACTGTATCAGGTACACTCCATTCTATGTGGTGGGTGACTTCGCTGAGGAAGAAGCTTGGAGGTGTGTGAGGCCTCTATTAGGTTGAGGTCATTTGACTGATGACCCTATTTATCAAACCTGTGTTTGTGTTTCTGAGTGTCTGAGCCGTTTCCACATAAAGTTGTCATGAGCTTTAGACTTTCATACCTTATGGGAAAATGACAAGTGATTATCAGACTTGAGGTTCATAAAACTATTTTGTCTTTTAGAAAAATTTTAAAGCCAAGTCTTGTTCTTCTTAGGAAATAAAGATACATGGATATTCATATAGTCATTATGTACATGGGCAGTTAATCCAAAGATATTCTGATGTTAAAACCATTATTCAGGGCAATACATGCACACACCTCAAAGAGTGCTCAGAAATCTCTTAAGCATAACTCTCAGACACTTGTTTATCTGAGATTAGAGGAGGAAAAGACAGTCAGGAAGCATCCATTGTAGATGTTAGGTCTCTTGGCAGACTTTGTTCTCAGGGACCATCAGAAATGAGGAAGTTTGGCGGTTCTGAACAGGGGCAGCTTATTGGTATAGACAGCAACCTCTCAGTATTTGTGTTTACACTGAAGTCCTGAATGAAAACCTGGGTCTTTACTCCCAGTGGCTACTTTCTCAGCTATTTTGTTGAAAAATAATAATGTGATTTCTATCTTGCCATTGCAATTACCATCTTTTTTCCTAATGAAACTAAATACTCAGGACAGTTTTGGAATAGAAAATACATATTTTATTGTGTGTAACAGACTTAGTAAAATGTAGTTTTCTCATTTTAGCCCCAGGTTTGCATTTATCCTAGTCTACTTTATGTGCATAGGCACAAATAGACTGAAATGAAACAAAGGAATTACATGTATTCAAATTTAGGTTAGGCATTTAGGAAATGAATGTATTTATTTTGGCAATGAGATTATATAGTGAAATGTGATATGTAGTGTGCTTCCTTATGATACTGTTAGCAGTTGGACTCTCTAAGAAAGTATTGTTCTGTGGCCATAGTATATGCAACATGAATTTATTCTCCTACATGAAATGTTCTTATACAAATGTTCACTGCAAATTCATTGTACTTTTTACATGTTGATGCTGTGTACAAAGTTGACTATAAAATGTGTTTTGTTTTTCTTTTGTTGGTTACATTGAGATACCACTGTGGCATCCTTATTTTCTCTTCTTCTGTATATAGGGTAAGGGACTGTTCTTCTGAAGAACCATTCCATTTAGTGATCAAGATACAGCAGCTGCTCTCAGAAAATGCTTGATGTGTATCCTAATTGTTTGTGATACCATTTGAATTGTAACTTACATTGTAGCAGCAAATGATCCCCAACAACCTAGTAGGAAGCTTAATAAAGTATGCCTCTTGCTCCCATATTGTCTATTGGTGTTTTCTTTATAGACACCATTTATTACCTGATATTTCTGAATTCATTTCACTAGTGGCAGATGTGTTTTGCAAAGAAACTCTGCTCAAACGTTCATTAAAGTCAAATGGGAATCTTTAAGTCTGATAAAAGGAGCCCAGGGAAATGGCTCGGTCACTAAAGTGTTTGCCAAGCAACATGAGAACCTGGGTTCATATTCCCAGCACTCACATAAAAGCTGGGCATTGTGGTTTGTGCCTGTAACCCAGTGCTGGGAGGGCAGAAATGGGGTACTCTGGACTTGCTGGCCAGACTTTCTTACAGAATCAGATGCTGCCTCAGAAATAGAGTGACATAGGAAAACACCCAGCATCAGCCTTTACATGTGTGTGCACACATGAACCATACATACAAAGTTCTTAAAAGTGCCTTGGGAAGGCCTGAAGGGGAATGTCCAACTTAAAACTTGGAGGCTGTTGATCTTACTCAAATGTCAAAATGTTTTCAAAGCATTCGGTACAGAATTCAGAGTATTCATGTTCCTTCTCTGATTTTTCTCTTGGCACATTACAGTGTGAAAGCTAGGCGTATTGGATTTTCTTACCCCTCAACTTTACTAATTTAGGAACTGTTGACAGCTTTAAAAACAACAGGCATAAGTATGAATCTGTAGCACAGAAAACAGGACTGGAAGTGCAAAGAGTAAGTGTCTGTTGATCTTAGCTGGGTTAAATAGCCAAGTGGCAGGTAGAGTCAAAGATAGCCTGGTCAGGTCTCAATAATGAAAGGTCCGATGGCAGAGGCTCTGAGCGGTTTTGTAAAGGTCCCTGTTAGAATTTTCTGCTTGGGCTGGCAGGGGATTGAAGCTTCATAATCACCTCATCCTTAAAGGTATTTTTTTTTTTAATCTGATCTGAAAAGAGCTGTGCAGCTTGCATGAGTGGGTGTGCCAGGAGCCCAAAGACCTTTAGTATTTATCTGATGAAATACAACTTCAGACCCATTGAGAAGATCTAAAGTATGGAGAACAGGACTTAGAGCAACAGGGTTACTTTATATTGAGTTGTGTTTTAAACTCATCAAAAATAATGGCAAAAATTGGCTTCTGGCAGACCTAAAGAGTAGTCAGATGTTTCTTGATAGTTTGCTCTAGCAGTGAACTTTACACTAGATTCATGTATATTACCTTTTTGTGTAAGTCATTCTGTCATTACCCCAATCAGTTTCCTACTTTCCCCTCATCTAGTCCTTGTATACCATCTCCTTTGCAGTTAGGTCCCAAAGGCGAAGTAGAGATGAAGGAACTGTCTTAGATGTTAGAGCTGTAATTCCATAGAATTTGAGTTTAAAGTCTCTGAATAAACTGCTGTCATGGTACCAAGATTGGGGTAAGGTTCATTTGTCAATTTCATAATAAATACCAAGATGAGATAGTAAATAATACAGGCATGTTGCCTCCTAATACAGGTTATTTTATGAATCTAAAAGTGACGGGATGAAGTCCAAGTAACTAAAGATAAAACAATGAATGCAAGCACTTAGTTGTTAAAGCTTCAGGACTGATAAAAATAAGAGTCAAGATGATGAATGGGAACCATATGAAATGAGTGAAAATGTATGTCTTATGTTTTCATTCTATGAAAGAGTATCACTAAGCATCTCTGAATAGTGGGACTGACTGACAGTGTGGCAAACAGATACTACTTACTATCTCTTTTTGTATTTTTATTGTTCCAGAAATTTCTCTGACATTAACCTAAATGCTAGACATGTTTTCTGTGACCTGTGACCGGCCTTTCAGAAAACTATCAGTAAATAAACAAGCAACAGCTAACTTACTTCAGCATAAGTTTGAATCACACATTCCAGTTCCAGGATTCTCAGGAATCATTTAGGAAAATAATGGACAAAGAAATAAGAGCTGTATTTACATATAGCAATGGTAGGCGGTTTGGTATGCCTCTTACTTATTTGGTATCTTTGCTGTTTAAGAAAAACTCATTGGAATTCATCAAACATCTACTTAAAACCAAAGTGTATGAAACTCACAGACATCCTGACCTTAATGCAGTATCACTACATTGAATGCTTACATTCCCCAAGTTTCTCGGATGATTGAGCACATTTATGGATCCCATTCCCAAAAATTCTCCTTCAGGAAACTTGCAGCTGAAGCCAGGCCTCTGTTTTCCTGATTCTTAGATGTAATAGATATTGTCAGCCTTGGGATCTGCCTCTTGGCAGTTCATGAGTTAAGTTTTAGCTGTTTAGTTTCTATGGATCAGAGCTAAAAAGCAGTCAGAGGCTTGTAGGGGAGAACAGGAGCAATATGATATTTTTTTTACTCTGGACTGTGATCTTAATTTTCCTGTTGTGTTTGAAAGCTATAAGGTTTAAATAACCCTAAGAAGAAAAGGGTTATTTCACACTCAAGTGTGTACTTGAGCTTGAAAGGAAAGTGATATTACTTTCATGTCTATGATAGAAGAGCAATGGAAATGGAAAGTTTCTAGCAAGCAAGACCAATATGTGGACTGCAGATTGCACTGCAGTCAAGGGTGGGTGTCATTGTCAAAATTGTGGACCACTGTGCCTGTGAGGATCTGGCACATTGACTAGGCAAAGTGACTTTTATTATTTCTATTTTTGTGTGTGTGTTGGAATGTGTGTCAGAGGACTTCAGGTTGTCTCCTTCAAAATGTGGGTTCCACGGATCAAACTCATGTCATTAGACCATCTCCTCAGCCTCCAAATAACAACTCGCAAAGCCAAGCAAATGCTGAAAGACTAGAAGCATAGATTTATGGAGATGAGAAACGAAAGGTGCCAAAGTAGCAAAGTGTAAGCCCCCTGAGGTGTAAGCGAGTGGCCAGGCTCTGCCCGCCAGAATACTCTAACCTGGGTAACAGCCTGACCCAGCCCCTTCAGATGCAGGCAGCCAAATGTGACTTGAAATCCTACTAATCCCTGAGTTTGCCCCACAATCAGGTCACCCTGGAAAGCTCTACTCTCAAGAAACCCTATATAAAGCCTGCCTCCTGCTCTCTTCTGGGTTGCTTCTCTCCTGAGCTGAGGCAGCCACCCTTCTGTGTTTTCCCTCCCCAATAAATTTTGTGTGGAGTTTGTTGTGTGGTGTGACTTTGTCATAATCTTGGCTCCTGACTGTCAGGATACCTTTTCCTTCAGAGCTGTAACACACTGATGCTGTGACCGAGATAGACTCTCCTAGCGCCTGTGCTCCCCCTTGTGGTCTGAGTCACACTGGGACCTTTTCTCTCATCTCCAGTACACTGGCAACAGACTCACCCATCTCTTGGCACCCCATCCACCTAACTAGATAATTTCCCCTTTGGTAGGTCTAAATGCTTCCCTGAGTCCGAGGAAGTGACCACTGAGGTCCAGCACCCATGGGGTACTCTTGGAGTCAGAGGTACTTCAAACCAAGGTCTTAAAAGTGTATTCTGGCCCTTTTCACCTGACCCTGTCCCCGCACCTTTAGAGCTGCAATCCTATAGTTCTTTTAGGCCCAGTTGGGCTATTGTGCCTCTTTTCTGCCCTCTTTCCTGCCTTCCCTTTGGAGCTGCCTGTAATACTACAGCTCCTCTAGGCCCTTGTGGATTTTGTGACTCTCTTTCCCAACCCTTTCCCCATGGATGAGATCTTATTCCTGAGATTGGTTTTCTTGTCACTTTCTGGCAAGCCTTCAGGCCTCATCAAAAGCCCTGGTACCAGGATCTCCTGGCTGCCAAGCTATTAACCCTGACCCCCATTGAATACGGTGATGACCCACTAAGTGGCTTGGTCCTCATTGGTTCTCTCTGAGTCCTGGGGACACCTGCAACTACAGGCTGCGGTGACATTCATTCTGCCTATCCTCCCCCCCGCCATGGGAATGGTGTCTTTCATACCCTCCCATTCTCCCTTGAGATGCCCTTACAAAACCTCCATCTTCTGTACCTGGTACCTTACCCAAAGAACCCTAAACTTGTTCACTTTTGCAATCAAATATGCCCTCAATATCCCTTATATAACCAATCCAAATGATTGCCTAACAGTGCTATAGATTCCAACATTATTCGGATTTTACAAATACTTTAAGCAATTGGGGAAATGCAAAGAGATTCCCCATTCCCCAAGTTCAAGCTTTCTTTTTTTTCTCCACTCCAAGCCCTGTTTGTTTTAGTCCCCCCACCACCACCACACACACACACTACACACAGTTTAAACGTTCTGTCTTATAACTTACCATTGATGGATCTGTAAGTTTGTTGCAAAGAGAAAACCATGAGCCTGACAGATCAGGATGGGGAGAAAGCAAAGCAGTAGACCAGCTGCAGTTCGTAAACACCCAGTACACACATCTTTTCTTCTTGCTGGCTGGTGTGTCTTTCAACTCCCTCCTACAGCATCCGCTGTCTATAGCCAGGGGTCAGAAATTTCCTATCTCTAAGTCTTCTTTTGTTCTCAGCTTATGAGATTTAGTTTTACAGGGATCAGGCATCTTTTAGGTATGGGCGACATTAGACAGTTTTTTATGCTGTCCTGTTTCAGTTAAAAGGTGTCTTAGGAATTGACATATGGCTTCCCCTCCTCTAGACCCAAGCATGCTTGTTTAAAGGTTTAGTACAAAATCACTGTCCCATATTAAGTGAGCCACCTGACCATATAAGAGAAAGGAGAGCAAAGAAAAAAAGGGGGGGGCAGACTACTCCCAGTGGGGACTGTCGCCACTCATCTCATACTCTTGGTTTTGGTTTAACTCTTAATTATTGCTAAGGTATAAATCTTATCTCAAGATGTGTAAGACTCTTGTGTGAACTTTCTGTACCTCAAAGATTTATAAGCATATTGGGTATGATTAAAAAATCTGTAAATTCTGAAACGAAAGGATTAACTTAAAATTCAAAACACCAGGTTTGATAGTTGAAAATCTGCACATAGGTAATCTTAAAGGACATGAGGCTTGCCGCCATCTTAGCTGCTGTGCTCCCGTTCCGGGCGGGGTCAG